GAAGACACAGCCATTCAGAGAGAGGCGCGGAGCAAAGGGCTGCTGCAAGGAAGACACAGCCATTCAGAGAGAGGCGCGGAGCAAAGGGCTGCTGCGCGGGTCCTGGTCCATGAGGTCAGGGCCAGAGTCACACTGAAGGGGACGTGCCCCGGCCACCCATCTGGTTTTTAACTGGCCAGTGTTTTCAGAAGGGGGCCACCAGGCCTGACTTCCTCGTCTGTCTTGGTCGGGACGCTCTGCTAAAACCCGTTCACCCTGAGTGACCTACAGGTACATGAAATCCCAAGAGGTGAGATGCTCCCAGCATCACAGCCACCCCCACCCCTCACCCCACCCCCACAACACTGACATTAAGGCCCAGTACCAAGCCACTAAGAGCCAGGTCCCAGAGTCCCCTCTCTGCATTAGCTTGCAGCTGTCCCTGGGGCAGCCCGAATCCAGCGGCCCAGGGACAACCAAGGCGTTGGCTGTTCACAGGCAGACCCCCAGAAACAGACGGCCAGGCCGCTCTCCCTGGTTCGTCCAGGCTGCCCAATGCTCCGCTGAAACCTACTTGTCACCATGACAACATGCCACCCTCCACAGATGAGCGGTGGCAGATGCGCATGGGAGGCTGGGTATCGAACCCAGGTCTCTGCTAACAGCGATCCCAGGCATCGGGGCCTGCGCCACCCCCATGGTGGGCAGAGGTCACGGGACAGCTCTAGACCACAGCAAAGCCGGGGCGGGCGCTGTGCGTGGCAGCTCCCTGACGCCCCCCATAAGGCCTGAGTGTCTGAGCACTGCGCTCCACATCATCAGGACCTTCTTCCCAGGTGTGCACCTGAACCCTCAACCTGACGGGACACACGTATCCCCAAGAGCTCGGCACACAGCTACCAGCTGGGACAAACTCCTGGCTCTCGCCCGGCTTTGGTCAGGAAGGCCAGCCCTGTCTTTCCAAAGGCTGAGTGGTGTCGCTGACAAGGGAAGTGATCAGCCCAGCCCGGTGCTGGGGGTAAAGCCAGGCCCAGAACCCAGGGTCTCCCAAAGGCTCCAGGCCAGCGGTTCTCAACCTGTGGGTCGCGACCCCTTTGGGGGCCAAACGACCCTTTCACAGGGATCGCCAAATTCATAACAGTAGCGAGATGACAGTTACGAAGTAGCAATGAAAATAATTGTATGGTTGGGGGGGGGGTGTCAGCACAACATGAGGAACTGTATTAAAGGGTGTCGGCACGAGGAAGGTTGAGAACCACTGCACTAGGCCATCTGCTCCACACCCAAAGGCTCCGAGCCTGTGCGGTGAGCTCTGTGGCCCCTCAGCTTCTGTGGAACCGTAGGGCTCTTCAAAGACAGTCTCTGCTAGTTGAAGTAGTATGTGGTTTTAGGGCTCCTCTTGGTCCTGGCAGGTCTACTGCAAGGTCGGCAACTCCAGTCCACCAGCGTGCGGCTCCTTGGGAGAATGGACGTTGCCTGATCCCAGGAAGATGGGACAGTCCCGGAGACCCACCCCGTGCAGGGGCCCCTGACGGGGCCACTGTCAGTCCGAGGCAGCAGGCTCTGCCTTGTGATGTGGTTTGAAGAAGCCTGGTGGCGGTTCTGTGTCAGGGAGGCAGTGCCGACCCTACACACACAACAAAGAAACACGGGCCCTCTCACAACTGTCCCTGTCGATGCGGCCCCGGGTCAGTCCAGCTCGCGGGCTTTCCTCTTTTCTGCTGTCCCTCTACCAGGCCCGATGTCCTTCTCCAGGGACTGGTCTCTCCTGACCACATGTCCTAAGTAAGGAAGATGAAGTCTCCCCATCCCAGCCTCTAAGGAGCGCTCTGGCCGCATGTCTCCCAACACTGATCGGTTGGCCTTTTAGCAGTCCAGTCCACGGTACTTTCAATATCCTTCCACAGCACCACCATGTGGGCACAGTGTTAAGAAGACTACAAGAGATATTTGTATCTCTTGTATCTCTTCTGCTTCAAGGATGCTCTCGGAGTTGTTTCAGGGGTTCATCCAACCTCCACAGCATCAGAAAGTCTTGAAACCGTGGTCATTCTGGTCCTCCGCCCCCCTACCCCGCCCCTCTTCTCTAGAATCACTGATGAAGATGCTCAGTGATGGTAGCCAGGCACCATCCAGTTCTTCTGGTCTCATGGGGAAGGAGGCATTTAGCCACCCTTCCATGCCCTCCTATTCCCAACTCCCCTCTGTGTCCACCACTCCTGGCAAAGAGAGACCAACAGTTGTGCTGGAGAGCTACTTTTGTCAGACCCCAGGCACTAGGGGAAGCGTTAGGATGGAGAAGCAGGGCCATGAGTCCGTTCGTTAGGGTTCGACCCCTTGCTGAGCATCTACCTCTCCACCCGAGACGGAACGAGAAGCAACAGGTTCACAAGCTCCCAGGCGAGCCCAACGACATGGGTACGTTCTGACATCCACAGATGCATGACCGAGGGGTCAGTGCCGCAGTCTGGGGGAAGGAGTCTGGTGGTGCAGAGGGTCAGCAACTGGCCGCTCATTGAAGGCTGGAGGTTTGATGCCCCCAGGTCCCCTGACGAAGAAAGATGAGGCCGCCTGCTTCCATGAAGACTGCCAGCCTGGCAAGGCCCAGCGGGCAGCCTTGGGTTGCTTGGGTTGGAATGAACTCGAGCGAGGGCCATGGGGTGGGGTGGGTGGAGATGTGAAGTGGAAAGGCATGTTCTCAAGGGGAAGCTGTACTGGAACGAACCGGTTCAAAGTCCTGGAGAGCACCAAACCCAAAGACCTTATTGAACCTCACTCTTCCAGAACCGAGGGGGCTCACAGAGACCCTCGAAGGCAGGGCAGAAGGGCCCCTGTGAGTTCCCGAGACCATCACTCTTTACGGGAGCGTCTAGAAAGCCCCATCTTTCTCCTGAGGAGCCCCTGGGGGATTGGAACTGTGGAACGAAGTCCAACAGTAAACACCAAATGAGTACTTGTTGCTGAGCTGCCCCGTCAGGTCAGGACTGTGGCCTCCACAGCCAGGGGACTAGGCCCCGGGGGGCGCTGGGTGGTGCGGAAGCAGCCAGCTGTGCGTTTGTTCCTCGCTGCCACATTAAAGCACCCTGCCAGGCTCCTCTTCGGGGGCATGGAGGGGCTAGCGGCCCAGCACAAACTGCGTGCGCCAGCAGGGCCTCAGGGAGAGCAGAGCAGGAGCCCAGCCAGCCTCCTCACTCCCAAGCCCATCACCATCGCCGACCGAGCCTGACCTGGGACACCACAGCTGTGAGGGGTGCGGCTAGGCCATGGACCTAGGGTCACCTGCCCTCAGGAGGGTTCGTGCACCAGGTGCCTCCCTTTAGGGATTATTCTCCAGCACCCCCACTGGCCAGATGGAGAGGGGAGGTCTCACACTGGCCATGTGGTCACAGCTTCAGCCACCAGCCACTCTCTGCCCACAGGTTAAGCGCCAGCCAGGGGTGGGGAGACCAGACCACACGAGGAGTCCCATTCTCATCGACCGGGGGACAATGCCACAATGAGTAGATGCCCCCACCCAGGGGTCCCAACTGGATGTCTCTGGCCCAAGTGGACAATGGGCCACATCTGTGGGTGTCATGACTGGGGAAGGGGTGCTACAAGCACTGAGTGGGTAGGTCAGGGAAGATGCTGCACCCGCCCCCCACCGCCCCCCGGGCCGGGAATTACTACTAATAAGTTGAAGGACTTCAAAAAGTGTGGGGGGGCGGGCGGGGGGGGAACCTCTAAAAACAATATCTCCAAACTCACTGACCATGAGTCGATTCCGACTCACCTGACCCCACTGGGCAGGGTAGAACTGCCCCGCAATTTCCAAGACTGGAACTTGTGACAGGAGCGGACAGCCTCCTCTTTCTCCGAGGGGTGGCTGGTGACTTCAAACTGCCGACCTTGCGGGGAGCAGCCCAACAAGAAACCCGACACCCGACCAGGGACAATTCACTCTCCCTCCCTCTCTGCCAACGAGCCAGTGCGGGCCCAGTGCGGCCGCGGTGGGTTTCTGGGCCGTCACTATGTATGGAAGTGGAAAGCCGCCTGTCCTGTCCTCCGTGGGGGTGCTGGCCGGTTTGAAGGGCCTCGATTCACTGCCCAACTGTGAACCTTAAACTCCTAGAGATCCTGGAAAAATTCTAGGACCTCTAATTCCACTTTTCTTCTTTTTCTCCCTTTCCAATTCTATTGGCACATAATCCACACATCATACAATAGTTCAATCATATCAAGAATTATACCATCGTTACCCCAATCGACTTTAGAAAAATTTCCTTTTCGCATGGTTAAATCGCTTTTAAATTGAGTTGTGTGATAAATCGCTTTTAAATTGAGTTGTGTGATCTCAATCAGTTCTGGTGCTCCCTTCCCCCTCCCACAGACACCCCCAACCCCATCACCCTCCCTACCTCCCACCCCGCTAATTCCACTTTTCCTTGAGTTTTCTGAAACCCCCTCACAGAACCCAGCATTTCTCTCCCAGAGCTGAGTCTGCTCCCAGGGGTCAAATGACAATGTGTGTGGGTTGGGGGTGTGTGTGCTTCTGGGGGTTGCTGCTGACAATGAGTGGGTGGGGCCGAGGGAGGCTGTTAGACACTGAAGTTTGTAAGACGTCCTGCCCCAGAGGAAGAGCTGGGCCAGTGGTGTGGGGGGACGGGCCCTGGTCTAGATCCACGAGTCTCAGATTCCAGCTGGGTCCCTGGTGGTGGTCAGGCCAGCCCTGTGGGTGGGCCTCAGTGGGCTCATCTGTAAAATGTGGGACACGCCAGCCACCGCCTGCTTAGCCCACAGGGAATGTGGTGCTGCCAGCAGGTAAGCTCTGCACTGCTAACTGCAAGGTCGGCAGTTCAAACCCACCAGTTGCTCCTCGGGAGAAAGAGGAGGCTGCCTGCTCCTGGGAAGACTGACGGTCTTGGTGGGGCCACTACATAGGCTGTGAGTGGGAACCGACTTTGCAACGCTAGGTGTGACTTTCTGTGTTTTGGCTCCGCCCACGCGCAGGGCTGTTGGGAAGACCAAAGGACATGTGAGGGGCAGGCCTTTTTCTCCCACTGACTGGGCAGGGCTGGGGGGCAGGCCTTCCTGTAGATGGGGGCTGGGCATGCACGGTGGTCCACAAGGCTGGCAAAAAGAGCCAGGCTCCCCTTGGTGTGCTCCCAAGGACTAGGAGCAGAGGCAGAGCGACAAAGCAACAGATCTTGCGCTGCTAGGACAGGCAAGCCCATCGCAGACACCGGCCTCCAGGTGGCCACGGCCCAGCAGCAGGCGGCGGCGTTGGGAAGACGCCCATTCAAGCCCCAGGGAGACACCAGGGCACCTGCCGACAACCACCGAGACCAGCAACGCCAACTGGGGTGGGGCAGCTGCTCTGGCAAACGGTGGCGGCTCCTCAGAGCACACGCACTGGGGACAGCCGGCCGGGAGCCGGGAGGCAGGGACACCCAGGCACAAGGCCTCCGGACGGAAGCAGCCGCTGTAGCCGTCTGTGAACAACACACCCTCCAATCGGTGGAGGACCATCCAGAAGCAAAGAGAGAGGACGCCTGGCCCATACAGGCCACAGGCTGAAGGACAGACAGACAGACGGCACCCCCCAGTATGGGAGCCCATGAAGAAGGCAAGAAGCATGCAGAAACCCAGACAAAAGTCCGTGCATGGTTACCAGGGGCCGGGAGCCATGGTGGCACAGTGGTTACTCGCTGGGCTGCTCACTGCAAGGTTGGCAGTTTGAAACTACACGCTGCCCTGCGGGGAAAAGATGAGGCTTTCTGCTCCTGTAAAGGGTCAGTCTCAGAAAGTCACAGGGGCAGTTCTACCCTGTCCGGTAAGGTCACTGTGAGTATGATGGAGTGATGGAGCTGTTGGATTATGATATGTAAACTACTTGCCAATGAAATTGCTGAAAAACAAAAGTGAAGAGCCCTCCGGAATCCACGGGGGTGGTGGGGGAGGGGGAACCGATCCCAATGCTATAACGCCCCACCCCCACCCAGGGGGACAACAACAGAAACACAGGTGAAGGGCAACGGCGGGCAGTGTAAGATATGAAAATATTGATAATTTACAATTTATCAAGGGTTTATGAGGGTGGGAGGCTGGGGGGGGGGGATGCAGAGCTGATACCAAAGGCTCAAGTGGAAAGAAAATGTTTGGAAAGGGATAATGGAAACCTATGTACAAATATGCTTCATACAATGGACGTATGGATTGTTAAAAGAGCTGTAAGAGCCCCCACTAAAATGATTTTAAATAAATAAATACAAATAAAGTGGAAGCTATAGGATTAAAAACAAAACAGAGCATTGGTTACAGAAAAAAGATTGGAACAGTTTGGTGTCTGATTTCGGGGTAGGAAAAAGGGTGGGGCAGGACCCCACTGCCGAGGTCTTCCTTCCCAGGAAACAAACCCTCGAGCCCCGGCCAGAGCTGCTCCCAACTCCCATCGAACCTCTGGGACAGCGTGGAGTGGCCCCTGTGGGTTTCAGAGGCTGCCACTCTTCAGGGGAGCAGACAGCCACATCTCTGCTGTGGGCAGGAGTGAAACATGGGGGGGGAGACCACTGGTGGCCGTGCCATCATGAGAGGGTGGCAGGGTGCCTTGGGGACTTTGCACTAGAGGCCTATCCGCCTACTCAGAACGCAGCAGAGAAAGAGCAAGGCGGCTCAGGGACC